ACCATAACTAGGGGGTGAATTCACTCTCACAAGCAGACTGTTGTCCTGACTCTCATCACAAATAATTTAATGCTGATAATCCTCTCTCCTGACCTTTTCCCTAACACAGGCTGGAGAATTTCACCCCATCACATCTTCACCCAGTTCAGGCATTTCTGACATCATTTTCTTGAAGTATTTGCTATTCCCACGCACTCTGGTAAATCTTTAAACGGTTCTAGCTCCTGGTGTTTTTCCTGTTGTGGAGAAGAAAAACATGGAAAACTACTATCAGGGTGTATAAATGGAATTTCTTTACTGAAAGGCATGGGGGAATGCTGGCATCTCACCAGGAGAGCACAGGAAAATGGGTAAGGAGTTAAAGCTCTGATCTTCAGTGTGTTTGGATGGGCTGTAAACACCTTCTCTCTTCCCAGAGTAGGAGCCCAGAGCATACAGATTTGTTTTTCCTCCAGCATGGCCCTAGCACAAGTGATGGGAACACAAAATCTTGTTGTGGTCCTGCTCCTGATGCACAACTACTCCAGATCCCGTGGGGATTCGTCCTGTTCTCCTGCTGTGCAGGAGGAAAATACAGCAATTAATAGAGAACCAAAACAAACCCACACAGGCTGTGCCTGCGGGCATAAGGAAAACTGAATTCCAAATGAAACCAGAGGAGTGGCTGAATCAACAATAAAGATCTGGAATGGGGCAACCAAACCACATTTGCAGGGAAGTCCGAAGGGCCTGGACACAGAGCTGAGGTTTAGTGTTGCTATTTTGGTCTCCTCATCTGCTCTCATGACTTCTGGCTGTTACTAAAGACAGTTACAGCTGGTTCCCCTTTTTCTTTTCCTATTCTCTCATTTTCTCCACCCTCAAGCCTGGAAATCACCCATCTGTATGCAGAACATCTTTGCCTATTCCTCAGAATCTCTGGGAGCTGCTTTTGGCCCTGGGGCAGGATCCACTGGTCACTTCAGCAAGTGATAGCCAGCTTTAGAATCACAGAACTGTTTGGGCTGGAAGGGACCTAAAAGAACATCCAGTTCCACCCTCTGCCACGGGCAGGAACATCTTCCATTGTCCCAGTTTGCTCCAAGTCCTGTCCAGCCTGGCCCTGGACACTTCCAGGGAAGTGTACATCACCTTATTATAATGAATTTATTCCAAGTATTTAATCTAACCCTGCCCTTTTCATCCATTCCCCCTTGTCCTTTCACTCCAGGCCCTTGTCTCAAAAAAAACCCTCTGCCCTCTATCACCCATTCCCCCTTGTCCTGTCCCTCCATCCCTTGTCCCCAGTCCCTCTCCAGCTCTCCTCGAGCTGCTTTAGACACTGGAACAGGCTCTGAGGATCCTGGATCCTTCTCCAGGTGAGCATTCCCAGTTCTCCCAGCCTGGCTCCAGTGCAGAGGGGCTTCAGCCCTTGGAACATCTCCATGGTCTCCTCTGGATTCTCTCCAGCAGCTCCAAATCCTTCTGCTGCTGGCCCCAGGGCTGGAGGCAGCTCTGCAGGTGGGGTCTCACCCGAACTGGGCAGAGGAGGAGAATCCCCCCTCCCCTGCTGCCCACACTGAAGAATCAAACCAGGACTTGGGGGGGGTTTCAGGGATGGGTCCAACTCTCCACCACCAGCACCCCCAAATCCTTCTCCCCAGGGCTGCTCTGGATCCATTCCCTGCCCTGATGGAAGCTGGGGTGCTGCAGCACTCCGTGTAAGGCACAGTAGTAACCCCATCAGACTGTCCCAATAGGCTGTCACTGCTGCGGGTGAGCCACGGAGAGACAGGAAAGTCCTGACCCCAAACTGCTACACAACCCTTGTGCAACACGTGGGGAACAGCTGATGGTGCCAAAATTAACTGTATCAAGTGCTTCTTTCTGATTGCAGAGGCTGAACTTGGTAACCCAAGGCTTTTATGGATTTTTTTTGTTTTTCTGAATTATTAGTTAAAGAAAGACCTAGTGTTCTTAGTGTTCTAATTCTGCATCTGCAGAATTTTTATTTAAAACTTGCCAAACAGATGATGAGCATCAATCCTTGCCCAGCGGGAAGGAGTTCCATACAGGCACAGACAGGGAAAAAAAAATTCTCTTTTAGCCAACAACAATAGCAATGAGTCAATATTCTTTATTACAGGCAAATACAGGGAAAAGGTAACTCATCCTACTTTCTGGATTACATTTGGTGCTTGGAATACCTCAGCTGTCTTTGGTGCAAAGCTGCTACGTTGCTCCTCAGCAGCACAGTGTGGACATGGTGTGTGTGGATGCTTCTTGCTGGATGGAGACCCTGATCCACAAAAGAAGATCCTTGTTTTGAGTAATAACTCTAAGCACCTGAAAAAACAGGACCTTTTGCAGGTCACTTCCAAGGTCTCTTCCAACCCAAGCCATTCTATGATGCATATTTGGGTGGGGAATCAAGGCATTCAGGACATGTTTGAGAGCACAAAGCATGTTTGAATCCTATCAGATGACTGTAGAGGGTAGGGAGAGCCCAGCCTGGTACAGCCCAGTCTTTACTCTGGGACTAATCTCCTGGGCAAACACAACCACACCTGGGTTTTGACTTGGAGAGAGCTGGGTGATTCACTTCAGGGTTTAAAATGCCATTGCTGGGGAGTAACAGGGACTGCAGCATAGCAGGGTAAGTTTGAGATGGACTACAGAGCATGGCTTGGTACCACTCACCTGAGAGCCAGCGATCAAAGAGATCTCACTGCGCAGCATCCACCAGGCTTGGGTTGCAAACAGGTTGTCAGTACCCACCCAGGAGAGCAGTTATCCCACACAGAGCTGCCCTTTGCCCTTCCCGTGGCTGCCCTAGGGCATGGCTTGAAGTTAAATGAGGCAAAAACCTGAGGTAAAAATGGCCCAGCACCATTGCAATATTCCTGTTGCAGCAGGGATCTCAACCCCACCATCCCCATCTCCCTGGGTTGTGTTTTATGTCTCACCTCCTATGCCCTCTATCACCCATTCTCCCGTGTCCTGTCCCTCCATCCTTTGTCCCCAGTCCCTCTCCAGCTCTCCTGGAGCTCCTTTAGGCTCTGGAAGGGGCTCTGAGGTCTCCCTGGATCCTTCTCTTCCCCAGCTCTCCCAGCCTGGCTCCAGAGCAGAGGGGCTCCAGCCCTTGGAGCATCTCCATGGCCTCCTCTGGACTCTCTCCAGCAGCTCCACGTCCCTCTGATGTTGGGGGTCCGAGATCTGGAGGTAACTCTGAAGGTGGGGTCTCACCCGAATGAAGCAGAGGGGCAGAATCCCCTCCCAGTTTAAGGAATGGAGGAGAATGATGGTGCAGTACTATGGGTCTTACAGGAGATGTCTTAGAGGGACAGAAGATGAGTGCAAGAGGTCACTGAGGGAGTTGGGAGTTGCCAGTTGTATCCCATCCACATCCCTGAGTGCCATGACAGGGAAAAATTGAGGTTCCTTCCTGGCTTCTTCACCGTGGATGTTTTCCCTCCTCACTTTGGGGGCACTGGCTCTCCCACGTGCTGTGAGATTTGTGCTGGGACTTGCCGAACCTTCACCCACACTGCAGAGATCTTATCAGAGCTGGAAAGTCGCATTCCTGGGCTGCCTCCCTCTGGACCTTCTCCCTGCAGAACAAGCAGTCCTTCTGTTTCCCTCATAAACCCATCAAAACCCAGCAGCTCTGACAGGCTGGAGCAGCAAAGCCCGCATGAACCAGCTGAGGCAGAGCCTGGAGAGGGCAAACTCTGTACTCATAAATTAACCTGTGCCTGGGGTCACGGTGACTCCACAGCTGAACCCACCACTGTGGCTTTGGCACAGCTCCATCCAGGATGCATCAGCCTCTCCCAGACATTTCCCAGGCACAGCTCAGGAGCCTATTTTCTGGAGCTCAAAGATTTTGGTGCTGGCAGTTGGCTTGAGGCCATACTGCCTTTAGCCTGGAAATCTTGTGGAAAATCATCATCTGTTCCTTCAGACTTGCACGTCCACAGCATCAAAATCAGGGGGCTCCCCCCCCACTCCATGGAAGTCATCTGGTCCAGCCCCCTTGCTTAGGGCCACACACAGAAGATTGCCCAGGTCCATGTCCAGATGGATTTTAAATATCTCCAAGGATGGAGGTATCTCTTGCTGAGGAACCTGTGCCAGTTCTTGGCCACCTTCACAATAAAGAAGTATTTCCTGGTGTTCAGAGGAATCTCCTTTGCTTCAGTGGGTGCCCATAGCTCCTGGTCCTGTGATTTTTACTTTAAATGTAGAATTTCCATCTTTGAGAGTAATCTCCGGGGCTGAACTAGGTGACATTGGGAGGTCCCTTCCCATCCCAAACCACCTTGCAGTGACTTGTAAATCCTATGAAGGGCACCTGAGGGAGCTGGATTGCTCAGCCTGGAGAAAAGGAGGCTCAGGGGGGCCCTTCTGGCTCTGCACAACTCCCTGACAGGAGGGGACAGCCAGGGGAGGCTCTGCTCCCAGGGAACAGGGACGGGACAAGGGGACAGAACCTTCAGCTGTGGCCAGAGGACACATGTTGGACATGAGGCAGAACTTCTTCATGGAAAGGATGGTCAGGCACTGGAAGGGGCTGCCCAGGAGGGGCTGGAGGCCCCATCCCTGGAGGTGTCCAAGGAACAACAGGACGTGGCACTCAGCGCTCTGGGCTGGGGACCGCTCACAGGTTGGACCCCGGAGATCTCTCCGAGGCGGAACGATCCTGTGATTCTGTGACTTTACGCCCCTGTCCCGGATGTCTCACTGCGCTCCCCTCTGCCCCCAGGGCCGGAGTGACGGGCTCTGGGGGGTGCGGCGGGTTTGAGCCGCGCTTTGTCCGGGCCGGGCCGGGCTGGGCTGGGCTGGGCTGGGCTGGGCTCGGCCCAGCGGGGCGGCCCCGGGGCGGGGCTGGGTGCGCATGCGCGCGGCGGCCGCGGGAGCTCCCGGAGGCGGCGGCCCCGGGACTCGGCAGCGGGACAGAGGAGCGGAGAGCGAGGGGACAGCGAGGGGACACCGGGGGGACAGCGAGGGGACAGCGAGAGCGGAGAGTGCGGGACGGGAGCGCGGACACTGAGAGCGGGAGGTGAGTGCACACATGGGGTGCGGGAGATGGAGAGCAGGCGCTGAGTGCGGGCGCTGAGAGCGGGCACTGCGGGCTGTGAGTGCGGGCGATCCCCTCCCCGCTGTCCCCTCTTCTCCCCCCGGGACATCCCGCCGAGGGTCCCCAGCGAGCTCCCGGTGCGCTCCGGCGGGTACCGCCGCTCCTGCATCCCCGCCGCGCCGGGAGCATCCTTCCCTGCGGGGGGAGCGGGATGCCGGGATGGGAGCCGGGGGTGGTCGGTGTGCGGTGCCTGGTGCTTGCGGACACCCATGGAATCCGGCGGGATGCGGGATCTTTCCCTCTGTGTCACGCACAATTTTGGTTCATCAAGCCGGGGTTAGTCCAGTGGTCAGGTGGGTGCTGGGGGAGAGCTTAAAGAAGGAAGGGGTGAGCAGGGAGACACGGATTTTGCCTTAAATTCCCCCCTTACCGGTATCTCAAGGGCTTCCTGAAGGAGAGAGGTGGGCAGTGTTTTTCCTCCGTGTTTGTTTGAAATGGCTGTGGGCGGATTTTCCTTGAACGACTTTGACACCCGGGGAGCTCTGGAGGCCACGGGAAGGAGATGCATAGTTCAGCTGTGAGCTGCGAGAAGAACAGCTCCCGGTGTTTGCCTTGGAGCTGCCGCCTGCTCCTTGCGCAGACACGAGCTGGGGCGCGTCTCCAAAGGGTCACCCAAGGGTTGTTCCCTGCTGATCTTCTCCAGGATGCTTCGGGGTCATGTCCCCCCTATATCCCGTCTGGATTTTTTCCTGGCTAAAAGCTGCACAAGCATCCAAGGATCTCACTTTTTTTTTTTTTTGGGGGGGGGTGGGGGGAGAGGGAGGGGAGGGAAATACTGTGGACAGTCTTAAATCACAAATATATAGATATATAAGATACATAAGATATATAGATATATAGATATATAGGTATATAATATATATATTAGAGATATATAAGTTTAGGTAAACACTGTAACAGTCAAATGTCAAACCAGTTCCTCTCTGGCATGAGCAGGGTTGGGTGTGGAGCATCCCAGTAGCTGTGCCTAGGTGGCTTTGGCTGGGGCACACAGATTTTTACTGGCATGGAGAGGTGCACTTATTGTGGGATGCTGTGGGATTGTGGCTTCAGAGCTGGGAAATTGTTAACATATCGCTAGTTGGAGGATTTTTGGGTGGGATGAGGCTTGGAGCAACCTGGTCTAGTGGAAAGTGTCCCTGCCCATGGCAGGGGCGTTGGAACAAGATGATCTTTAAGGTCCTTTCCAACCCAAAACATTTTAGGATTCTAGGATGGCTTGCTGCGGATTAGGATGAGGAGTGTAATGCTGCTCTGGCAGCAGCTGTTCAAAAAGAGCAAAGTTATGGAAAGGTCATGAAAAAGGATGAGTCCAGCTGGTCTGAAGTCTGTTTTTGCCCTCTGCCGGAGCAGGGAGGGGGCAGGCAGCTATCAGTTCTGAATTCTCGCAGCAGATTGTGCTTCTGCCTTGGGGTGCTGTGCTGATACGTGCTGCAAACAATTCTTAGAAACTCATTCAGGGCTCAACAGACTAAACCACACAGTTGCACATTTCCTGCCACCGGGGAAGGTGTGGGTTAACAGCCCTGCACCCTGCAGGATTTTCTGTTTCCTGGGCATTAATTGCTTTTATTTGTTTACGCCGAAGCTGCAGCCGCAGCCTGTGGCTGAGCAGAGGGCTGTGTCCCTGTGGATGCAGGGAGGGATGGCAGGGAGGGGTGGCCGTGCCAGTGAGGCTGGGGACAAGGGAGGTGCCACCACCGTGTCACGTGTGAGAGCTTGCAGCTACTTGCAGGTCTTGAATCAGGCACCAGCTTAATTTTTTATCTGTCAGTTTATGGGGTAACCCTTGCTCATGGGGTCAGACCAGTGGCCCTTTAATTGCATAAACCATTAATGATTAGTAAATTCTAGAAGAATAAATACCCAGGGAAGCTGCTGGAGGCTGCAGCTGTATAGTTGCCATACTTTATAAGCTCCACAGAATCATGGAATGGTTTGGGTTGGAAGGGACATTAAAGATGATCCAGTTCCAACTCCCTGCCATGGAGTTGCTCCATGTCCCATCTTGGTTGCTCCAAGTCCTGTCCAACGTGGCCTTGGACACTTCCAGGTAGTAAGGGGAAGCTTGCTGCCACTTCCTTCCCACTCTCCAAGCCCCACCAAATCCTTGGGATTGAGTGGGACTCCAAATAAGTGAATGCAGCACAGCTTGCATCCCTTTTGTGGAGGAAATCTCCCATCTGGCCCTTCCTTGGAGCTTTGTAGCCTCCAGGAAGGACATCAGTTCTGTCACTGCAGACCTAGAACCTGGCTGGGAGAGGCCATGGGGTTAAATGGGACAAGGTCCTGGATGGGGACAAAGACTTCTAGTGCAGGGGAGAGGAAAGCTCGCAGCTCCACGGGGTTGGCACAGAGCTGCAGTCTCTCCCTGGCAGTACCTCCTCTCTGCCCGCAGCAGCCGCAGGGCTCTGCATGATTTATATACATTTTTTTCGAGTGACCAAAGCTCTAAAATCCACAGCCTTTAAAAAAAATTATGTTTTTGTACAAGAGGCTTTTGTGGATGACAGCAAAGCTGAGCAGCCTCAGCCCAGAGGTTCTTTTGGGGATTATTTGAACCAACAAACAGCACACGGCCAGTTTGGTTTGGTCGTTCTGCCCGCAGGCAGATGGTTCTGGGGTTGTCCCATCAGCAGATGGATCTGAGCAGGGAGGGATTGGTTGGCTTGTCAAGGAGTTCCCAGTTCTAGATCTGCACTGAAGGAGGATTAGTGCTGAAGGAAATTTAGGAGGTGAAAGTGGGATGCCACTGTAACAGATTCAGGCTCCTTTTTTAGTCAGTACAGTGGGAAGACCCCCCAGGCACTTTGCTGGCACAATTCCAGTTTCTGGAAAAAGTCCCAGTCCATCAGTGATCCCTGCAGGGCTAAATACAGCAGGCAGGGACTGGTGGGGGTGGCAGGACCAAAACCGTGCCCAGAAGTGTGCTGACACTTCAGCAACCTGATGGTTACAGTTTGGGACTGTGGCCTGGTGTGGTTTGATTCCTGATGTACTCATCCAGGGATTTCACACCCACCTGAAATCCAGCCCCAAAGCATCGGGTGCTGCGTTGGTTGTGTGTGGGAAAAGAAAGTGGTGAGGGGATCAGGAAAGCACAAACTGCAAAGGATTAGTGAGACCAGGAAGAAGAGCTGCAGAATATTACCTCGCCCTTGAGCAAATTTCGATACAGGGGGAGTGGATTTGCCAGAGGAGGGCATTCTCAGTCAGGGTCTGTGAGCAGAATTAGTGAATATTAACTAGTGCTGATACTAGTGTTAGCAGCAGCATCACCAAGCTCCAGCCCGGGTTAGGCATGAGGAAACTGCAGCTGTGCTGTCACAGCAAACCAGAACTGTGCCATTCCCTGACGTGGTTTGGGAGATAGCACAGTCCAGGAGTTGTTCCTCGCTGACAGTTTGTGTGTGGCCACCCATTGGAGGGGTGCAGCAGCTCAGGAATGGCCAAGCCAGCCCAGCTGAACGCTCAGAACCTGATGTGAAAATCAACCCCTCCTTGCACTTGCACATGATGCTTGGACTCTCACAATAAAGCCACCAGCCTCATCCAACCTTTGGTTTCCTAACTTTGGGGTTCCATTCCCCTGCTTTGCTCCCCCAAGCACCACAGGGCCTCGGGGGTCCCCCCTAATTGGGATGCTTTGCTGCAGGGACGTGGCCTTTGCCAGCAGCTTTGTTTTGCTCTGTGCCTTGTGAGCACAGCGTTCCCTGCGCTGGCTCCACTGCTCTCATCCCCTGGCCCCATCCCAAAGCTCGGGCAACGCTGAGCCCATGTCAAGAGGCACTTGCTGCTCAGCACGGCTGAGCTGGCTGCTGGCCCAGCTCGCTCCCAGGCCAGGAATTGCAGCAGAGCTGACACTGCCGTGGCTTCCGTGGGGGATCCTGCCACCTCCCACTGGCTTTCATGGCTCGTCTCCCAGCATCACGGGACGTTCGTTTCCTGAGGGATACAAGCTTGGACAAACCCTGCTCGGGCTGCACGCTCTGTGTGTGTGTGTGTGTATATAGAGAAGGGGAGAATTTGTGGCATTTTCTTTTATTTTAAATTTTCCACTAGGTTATTTTGACATTTTTTCTTAACAGATCAGGTTGTTTTAAGTTGTGCCCTTCAGTAAATCACATGGAATCACCTTTTACCTTCCAGAGCATCACAACCTGCAGGTCCCTGTTGGAGGAGTAACGGGAACTGGGCTGATGTAAATCTAACAGGGTACCTAAGTGCCTTGAGGGAAATAAAATCTGTGCAATGCACTGTTAAGTAGTCCCAGCACTGCTCAGTACATTAGGAGCACAGTATCTCGTTTCCATTAGGCAGATGAGGACTGATATCCCCATTTCATAGATGGGGAAGTGTAAGCCCAGTTTACAGAAGCCCCAGGCACCTGGCCCTTCTCTTCTTCTTCCCAATCATCCCTTCTGGTTGCGGGGATTTCCACTTCTTCGGTGCTGGAGTGTAGATAAGTCCTTCACACCCTGCTGCTTACCCTGGCAGGGTTGTCCCTGGCACAAACCATCAAATCATGGAATCACAGAGTGGTTTGGGTTGGGAGCAACATTAAAGCTCACCCAGTTCAACTCCCCTGCCATGGGCAGGGACAGCTTCCCCTTGGTTGCTCCAAGCCCCATCCAACCTGGCCTTGGACACTTCGAGGGATCCAGGGGCAGCCACAGCTTCTCTGGGCACCCTCTGCCGGTTGTAAATCCTGTGTAAATCCCAGTAACTCCCTGAAGAAAGGATCTGAGCTCCGGGTGTTCCTGCTGCAGTCTGGAGGAATTTTGGCACCTAAATCTGTGGCAGGAGAAGGAAGCAGGTCATACCAAGACTGCACAGGAACTGCTGCTTAAGCCAGTCCGTGGTCTCGTATTTTCTCAGCTCTGGAGGTGACTTTACAAAACACAGGGCAGAATGGGATGGAGGAGCTGGCACTGTGCTCCCAGGATGGTCTTTCAAAGTTTTCTCCAGCCCTACAGAATGGTTTAATTACAGGATGAGATGTTTGTGCTCAGGGAGGACCAGCCTTGAGACAGCAGGGTTTGGGACGGGGCTTATGCAGTGCATCTGAGCTGGGTGCAGCCCCGGTGCAGCCTCTCCCAGAGCTGAACTGCTCCCTGCCATCCTGGTGCAGTAGGAGCTGTGACACCAAAGTTAACCCCATGTAGGAAGGGGTCACAATAAAACCCCAAGCTTCAAAATTACCTGGAGTCCCCCTAGGGACTTTTGCTCAAATGCCAGAGGAGAGGAATTCAGGCATTAATCACCTGCAGCTCTCCAAACCAGTCTGTTGGCCACTGCTGTTATTTTCACGCTGTTCACAATCACATCTTTTTTTTTCCCCCTTGTTTTAAATGCCATGCATTTATTAAGGACTTCCCCAAAGCTGAGTACCCCCGGTTCTCCCTGCTTTGTTTACCAAGAATTACTGCCTTTTTGGAAGCCTGTGTAAACCTCTGATGCCTGAATACCAGTCTGCGAGCAAATCTATCACACTGGTCCAGCCTCAATCTCAGACAGTGAACTCGGGGGCCAGACCGGTGGGAAAATCGACCGTACTCTGTAGGAAATTTTCTCATTCAAACCCTTCCATCAGACTGTGACCAAAAAGCAAAAGAGCTGGGAAAAAGCTCGGGTTTCCAATTACCCTCTTCAAAAGGGAGAGAAAAAATTGGAACAGGATCGTTCTCCTCCTGTGCCGGGAGTTTTTATTGTGGATGTAATGATCCAGCCTGGCCATCATCCACGCCCTCCTCCCCTTGCAGCTCCCTCGCTGAACAAACGATACTTGGTTGCTGTTAATTGGGAGCAGCCAAAATAACTGAATTCCCCGGAGATGGGGGTGAGGACGGAATCTCAACGAGACACCCCGCCAATGAATGTGGCTTTCAGCTGCTCCTACACCCCCGTGAAGGGAAAAGAATAGGGGCTCTGTGAAAGTGAAACAGCCAGTGCTGACCTTGGGTTTCTGGGTTGGTGGGGTTTTTTTTGTTGTTGTTGTTGGATTTTTTTCTCTTTCTCTCTCTTTTCTAACATTAATTGCCCGTCACTTTGTCTGATCACATGATCGCTGGAAACTGCCAGCTTGTTCTCACTCGCTCATATCACAAGGTTTGAAATAAGCAGGCTATCAGGTTCCTGATTCAGCGCTATTCAGCCCCGTATCAGATGTGTTTCTTGTGATTTCGGACTATTATTTTGAAAATCTCTGCCCCTCACAGCCTGTTTAAAACTGGCATTTTCCAGCTCTGAAAGCCTGCCTGGAATAATCTGTGCTGTCAGGGAGATGTGCAGTGCCCAGGCTCTCTGGGGCGATGCTCGCTGCATGCACTGAGCTCTGGGGATGAGAGACCGTGGCAAAGTCCTGGCATGAGCACGAGCGGTGCAAGCCGGAGCCAGGCTGTGCCTGGGACAGAAGCTGCCTGTCTCTCCCACATCCTTGTCAGCATGCAAAGCAGGCAGGCCATGGACTGCACTCCCATGCATTCCTATTCCCAGGCTCAATTGCCACCCTCCCATGTGTTGATTTTGCTCTTTATGTGCAGTTTTCAGCAGGTTTGTCTGCAGGAGATGAGCACTGACTCTGCTCTCTCAGAGCTGGTCTCTTGGGCAGGTTGGTGCCCCCTCAGAGCTGGTTTTCATTTCCCGTTGTGCTGGGGTTCACTCTGGCATTACTCTGTGTTCTCTAAGATGTAAGGAACTTCAGCATGTCCTTTCTTCTTCCGCCCCACCATCATGATCACTGAATCATAGAACCCCAGAATGGTCTGGGTTGGAAAGGTCAATTTGTTCCAACTCTGCCATGGACAGGAAGTTCTTCCCTGTGAGGGTGGTGAGGCTATGGCAGAGGTTGCCCAGAGAAGCTGTGGTTGCTCCATCCCTGGAAGTGTCCAAGGTTGGACGGGGCTTGGAGCAGTCTGGGATAGTGGAAGGTGTCCCTGCCCATGGCAGGAGGTTGGAATGAGATGATCTTCAAACCACTCCCCAATTCCATAATTTGTGAATGAACTCCATTAGCTACAAGAAGACAGAATGGACTGGCTGTACATTGGAACAGGGAAGGGTGAGTGTTCCCTCCTGTTCACACTGTGCCCTCCTAGGAGTGCCCCAAACTCAAAATTTGCCTTGCCTCCCTAAATTTTGGCATGTAACTCCACAGGCATACACAACCTGCTGAACTGCATGTCCCATGATAGGTGAGGGCCCTGCAGACCCTTAGGAGAGAAACAAAGTCTTTATGAGTGTGCACTACATTAACTCCCCAGCAAGTGTGCTCTCTTCAGCATTACACATCTGTGAAACTGAAACAGCATTTCCAGGGACCATTTTGCCTTCTGTGGCTAAAGCAGCTCCATCAAACACAGCAGACAAAGTCCCCTGTCGCAATCAGGGTAAAAAAACAACTCCAGCCTTGAGAGATGCTAAGGGAGAAAGCCTAGGCAGCGTAGGGCGGAAAGAATTTTCTAGAAAATGAAACCTAATTATGACAGCTCCTCTCTGCTAGAATACAGAAGCAACATGAAAATATTTTGTCTCTTATCAGATACTTTGGGTTTCTACAGGAGGTGAGATTTGCTACCTGGTTGAGAGTCTGATCTGACTTTGCTCTTTGTGCTGTCTCACCCTTGGACTGCAAGGTCCCACCTCCCTGCTTTCAGAAACTCTCGTGGTGTTTCACACTGTCCTGTTCTCTGAATCACAGCCTAGCAGGGGTCTCCAATCACAGAATCACAGACTGGTTTGGATTGAAAGGGATCTTAAAGCTCCTCTAGTTCTGCCACGGGCAGGGACGCCTTCACCAGACCAGATGCCCACACAAACTATTGGTGTCTCACCTCTGGACACAGCTGGTATCTCATGTAACAGGAGAAAAATTGGCTGTTTTCCACACTCAGGCAAAATACTTACCTGCATTTCCTTTTTTTTTTTGCTACCTCCATCCCCTGCAGCTCCACTCATTTGCATATAAGCTTAGGAGACAGATTCTGCTCCTGCAAACCTGTGTGTGTTGGTTTCACAGGAGTAACCACAGCCCTGCACAGTCTGGTGGGGCCCCATCAGCACCAATTTCAGTTTAACATGGGCATTTGTGATGAATTTTCCTCTATTTTGTATGACACAAACACCAGCAGGGAAGAGCGGTATCTAGGTTATTGGGAAACAGGGGGTATTGGGAATTAATTTAATGCCAGCAGTTGTTCTCCACACATTAGGATCCTGCTGTGGCCTGAATCTGAATCTTGCCAGCCAAAGCTTAGCAAGTCTGGAGGTTACCAAGGAGCAGAGAAGGCAGAGGAGTGCCCAGCGCTGGATTTGGCTGCTCTAAGCATCCAGGGATGTCTCTGGCAGTCCCTCAGCTTTGGCTCCATGGATGCTCCCAAAGGTCTGATGCTGTACCCAAACTGCAGCCAGCTCTCATTTCTTCAGTCCCTCTCAATCCTGATGCTTCTTACTTGTGGAGGGATGAGGGCTGCAGGTTTGGGACTGTGGATTTCTCTACTTCTCCCTCTGCCATACTCACTACAGTAAGCCATGGGCAAACTGTGACAGGGAAATTTGAGTTTCTCTGCAAGCTCCGTGATTTGGTTGGGACCCTCTTAACTCATGTGCAGACAGGCTGGTTATCCCTTAGATGAGTAATTTACATCCCAGTTTTGTTCCTGAGCATTTTTTTCTGGGGTGAGGGTTGAAAAATCACCTTCATAAATCATCAGATGCCTTCTTGTCAACGAACTGCTTCCTGCAGTTGGCAGCTCGTGGCTTCTGAACACGCTCCAAGCTGAGTGCCTGAGGAAGTGGCGAGGAAGGGCAGGTTTGTGGCATTGCTGTGCCCATCTGATGCAGGCTGATCTGCAGGGATAGTGCTCTGCATCCTCCTCTGTGCTGAATTTAGGTCAGAGAACAGATAACCCTGGGAATTTGGTACTCTCTCAGAGCTTCTTGAACTCCTGAGGAGATCTGGTACCTCTAAACTTGACAATATTCATAGAATCATGGAATAGTTTGGATTAGAAGGGACCTGAAAGACCATCTTGACCCAACACCCTGCCATGGACAAGGACATCTTCCACTATCCCTGGTTGCTCCAAGCCCACCCAGTCTAGCCTGGAACACTTTCAGGGATTCAGGGGCAGCCACAGCTTCTCTGGGCACCCTTTGCTAGGGACTTGCCACACTCACAGGAAACAATTCCTTCCCAATATCCCATCTATCCCTGCCCTCTGGCAGTGGGAAGCCATTGCCCTTGTCCTTGGCCTGTCCTTCCAGGCACTTGTCCCAAGTCCCTCTCCAGCTCTCTTGGAGCCCCTTTAGGCCCTGGAAGGTGCTCTACGGGCCAGCATCTCGATGGTGCCATGGTTAATCCCACTGGGAATGGCAGCATGCTCTTCGCCCCGGTGCGCCACCATTAACATTTCCTCTTTCTCCGATCCCCGCAGGGCAGGAAGACGACGTTCCCTGGTGTGGGGCTGAAGGCAGCGGGATGACAGCCATCCTGGAGCGGCTCAGCACGCTGTCCCTCAGCGGGCAGCACCTCAGCCGGCTGCCCCGGCTGCTGGAGGATGGCTTCCCCAAGATGCCCTGCACGGTGAAGGAGTGCGAGGTGCCGCAGCTCTTCCGTGAGCCCTACATCCACAGCGGGTACCGCCCCACCGGCCAGGACTGGCGCTACTACTTCCTCAGCCTCTTCCAGAAGCACAACGAGGTGGTCAACGTGTGGACTCATCTCCTGGCTGCGCTGGCCGTGCTGCTGAGGTTCAAGACGTTTGTGGAGGCCGAGCAGTTGCCTGTGGATGTGTGGTCCTTGCCGTTGCTCATCTTTGTCCTCTCCTCTGTCACCTACCTGACCTGCAGCCTCTTGGCGCACCTGCTGCAGTCCAAGTCGGAGCTGTACCACTACACCTTCTACTTCATGGACTATGTTGGAGTCAGCATCTACCAGTATGGCAGTGCCCTGGCTCATTTCTACTACAGCTCTGACCAAGCCTGGTACGACAAGTTCTGGCTTTTCTTCCTGCCAGCAGCAGCTTTCTGTGGCTGGTTGTCCTGTGCCGGCTGCTGCTATGCCAAATACCGGTACCGACGGCCTTACCCCATCATGAGGAAGATGTGCCAGGTGATCCCAGCAGGGCTGGCTTTCATCCTGGATATCAGTCCCGTGGCTCACCGGGTGGTCGTGTGTCACCTGGGGGGCTGTCAGGAAGATGCTGCTTGGTACCACACGTACCAGATACTGTTTTTCCTTGTCAGTGCTTATTTCTTTTCCTGCCCCGTCCCTGAGAAATACTTCCCTGGCTCCTGTGATATTGTTGGCCACGCCCACCAGATCTTCCACACCTTCCTGGCCATCTGCACCCTGTCGCAGCTGGAGGCCATTCTTTTGGATTACAAGAACAGGCAGGAGATTTTCCTGAAGAGACATGGGCCTTTCACGGTTTATCTGTCCTGCATCTCTTTTTTCGGCTTGGTGGCCTGTAGTGCCATCACAGCTTACATCCTGCAACGCAGGATCAAGGCCAGCCTGGCTAAAAAGGACTCCTGAGAGTCATGGACGTGACAGGCATGACATCACCAGAGAAAATCAAGAAAAGGGGGCATAACATACTAGAGACATGACTGTCTTACTTGCCTAACATGCCATGACTAACCAGGACCTCGGACTCAGATGGAAGGCTGGACACTTCATGCTGGATGCATTTTCACAGCAGGAATTGCCTTTTGCCATCCGGGTGGGGGGGGGGACATGGAGTGTTTTAAGCCAGAACAAGTCACTGAACCAAGGATGCTGGAATAGGCAGAGGTTCCTTGTTCATTCTGGTAGAGCTGCGGGTGAGACCTTACTGAAGGTCAGGGAGGGCAGCCTGGAGGCTGGGGGGCTATAGAAGGGTGTGCCAGGGCTCACAACACCATGAGGACCACAGCTGGATGTGATGACCTCTCTGGGTTTTGCTATATCTACATGAGAACTGTTCCTATCAAAGGCACTAGGAAGGTTTTGGGAAGTCTGTGTTTCTAGGGTTTGGATGTGAGGGCATGTGTGGCACAGTGGCTGCTAGAATCCTTTTCCTGTTCCAGCCAGGTTCTGTCTGCACTCCCCTTGTCAAGTGTGTCAATGCCAGGTCACTTAGATGGCTTTGGGAAAACATCTTTGGAGATCCAGGCTTGACCTGGGGTCCTCTGGGACAAACTGGGTCTGTGTCACCTGTCTAGGGAGTCTGACCAACCTCTAGCAACATCCATGAAATATGGAATTACTTGGATGTGACCTGTTTGATACAGGAAAGGCTCTGCTCCTCCAACACCACCACTGTGATCACAGCCAAAAGGGTGTGAAGGTGAAGGAGTCTTTATTCCCCTCTTGATGAGCATCCTTGGTGAGCATTGTGGGAAAGCTGACCTTGAAGCTGCAGGGTTGCTGTTCTGTGACCAGTGAGGTTGTGACTGGCATGTTTTTATCAGTACTAGATGAAGGTGGAACAGCAAAAGGCCAGGAGCAGGGTGACAGCATCAGGGTCCTGCACCTCAGCATGGGTTTGTCCTTGGTGATTCCTGTGTGGAGTAGAAAGGATAGTGATCAGGGTCACTTAGTGTCCACTGGTCACTCCTATCCAAGGTAACAAAGGCTGGATTACTGTGTCCCTCACTAGAAGAATCTATTCTGTGCTTGCCTTGGGGGAATATTGAACATGGAACCACCAAGGAGGTTTAAATCTTTGCTGAAACCAAGGAATCCATGGGATCTATCTCAGCCACAGATTTGTCTCACTGAACCCAAGGGCAGGCAAATGAATTGTGATTGCTGGTTCTGAGCAGGCAGAATGTAGGGTTGGGGGGATATGGTTGGTGAGGACAAGCACTGATTTCTACACTTCATCTGTGTTCTAGCTCTTGAGGTATGCATGTTCCATGTGTGTGCATGGGATTTGTTATCCGGAAAGGCTTTGCCTTGGGATTTTATATCTGCAGAGCCTCCTGGTTGGGTTAAGATTAACCTGAAGGAAACAGTGCTGTCCTGCTGGAGGAGCAAGGTGGGCCAGATTTGTTAATGGGTGATGGAAAACCTGTAAATAGGTACTTTGCTGGTCCTGTGTTTAGTAGGTAAATTTGGAACTCATGGCCCTATAGAAAATTAAATACAAAGGGAGAGGAAAGTAAGTTTGGAGTATAGGAGAAGAAATCATAGGAAAGCCTTCAGGAGGTCATCAAGTCCACCCTTTCTCATCAGTCCTGGCCTCAGAGCTTAGAAATTAATTACTTAATTTCATAGGGTGTTTTTGATGGTACAGATGGTACAGCCATGCTGACTTAGCAGAAAATCTGACTTAGGGGAGATGCCAAGCAGGGGTTGTCCCACTTGCACCTCACTGAACCTCTTCCCATGCACAGAAGCTCATCTGGCCACGGAGCAAGCCAGCACTGGGAGAGGCAGCATTGGGAAACCAATCCCACTGAAAAAATGTCAGTAATTTTCAGCTGGTTTTAACTCTGAGCCAGCTCACTTGGACAATGCAGCTGCTGGCAGGGAAGGGCTGGAGTGGAGGCCAGCAGCAGTTCTTCCTTGCATGGCAGCTGGCTGCTCAACTCACTCAGCTGCACCGGTGGACTACTCCCTCCATGGGCTCTGGCTTTGCTTGTGGGTCTCCTCCCAGTCTGAGGAAAGGCTTCCAGTGGGAGCAGCTTTTTCTCACAGCCTAATTTGCCTTGGTTTTGTGGTAGATAGGGAAGAACAAGGCACTGGGTGTGGAACTGACTGGATGGTATTAGTGAGTTCCTGTGCAGAAACAGAGGTAAATCAGGCTGGTCCAGAGCTCATTTCTGGTATAAAATGGAGAAGGATTAGGCATGGCTCATAACAGCAAACCTGCTCTGCTGCTACCTGGAGTTATACTGGTTATACCAAAGGAAGGGATCGCCCAGGGGTCCCCTCCTCTGAGGGTTTGAAAACAGATGGCATGCCCTGCCCTTGTTGAAAGAGGGTGAGTACGGTAATGCCATCTCGTTCAGGGACAGGCAGAGGAGCCCACATGGCTCTTCCAAGCTACTTTTGGTCGTATCTTCTCCTCCCTGGCTGAACAGAAGTGACAACAGAAGTGACACTTCTCTGGAGCAGTGGTGTGACAGTGGAGGTGTTTTTGCACACTCCCATGTTTCCCCTCAGGTGAAGCTGCTCCCATCTCGGCGTGGCCCTGCACTCCCACCTGGAGCTGACCTCCTGGTTACGATGATGGGTGGAGTGAGCGGGGATGTACAACACAGATCTGTGCTGCTGTGAGGATGTGCCCTTGTGTCACAAGAGGCTCACCAACACTGGAGCTTCCTTCATCCCTGTCTCCATCCTCCTCCTCTTCCTCCAACCAGCTTCTTTCCTTCCTTCATCCCCAGACTTTATCCTTGTGCCTTATGGACCTGGCTGCCTTCCTGGGCAGACTCCACATGCCGCAGTCTGCTGGATCTCAGCTGGAAAGTGGCAGTGGAAGCTTTGCCAGTGATCCAGAGGAGATCAGGGCTGTATCTGGAAAGAGCCAAAGTGCTGCTGTGATAAATGCTCAGTTTGTCTGAGCCCCCCAGGACCTTCTCCTTGGGCTCACTGCTTGGAGCAGGTCTCCTCCATCCCGGTGTTCCTAAGGAGGCATGGCTGGGAAGGATGTACCAGTGGCCAGAGCCGGTGGAGAGCTGACCACCAAAGGATGAGCGCACCTGAGATCCCAAAGGGACCGAGGTCACAGTCCTCTCCCTCAGGAATCTCTAGTCCTGAGGTAGTATTCCTGCAGATCTTGCAAACCAGGACAGATCCTGAGAATTCATCACAATGTGCCTTGTGCTATTCCGTTTGGGGATTAATCTTGAAGGAACCTGAGGGTCAAGGGCAGCCTCTTCGCTGTCTGCTGGTCCATGGTTGCTCTTAACTGCCAATTCCCACTGACAGGATTTGCTCAGTGTACAGAACAGGAGGAGAGGATGGAGACAGGTGCTTTAAATTTGTATTTATGTCTAATTTGTGTAACGAGGCAAGGACGGGTTCCTCATGTGCCTTGCAATTTACATCTTTTACTGACAAGATTATTTTTAAGCACTGTTTGTTACTAAACAGAAATACAAAAGAGTTTGTATTTTTTTTTCCTTTGGGAAACAGGGAAGGATATGAGTGTTCCTTATTAACTATCCCCTTCCCAACTCCCATCTGCTGACTTTGTATTGTTGAAAACATTGACAATATTTTAAGCTTTGTACTGTACTGATCTTTATTTAAAAACTTTAGTGGAAAAAAAAAAATCTGTGAAAGCAAAATAATTGGTGTGGTGTGAAATTCCCAAATGCACAACTACAGAAGGTTCTGAGTTATTAGAAAGAAAAGGGGACAATAATTACACAGAGGATATATTAGAGTGATAATAATTACAATAATGAACAATAAGGTGTGGTTTTATCTGTGCATCTCAAAGCACTGTCACGGTTTCACAATACCTGTTGGATTTCCTTCCCTTTCCACAAGGGAAGTGCAGAACAGCTTCCCTGACACTGATTAGGAAACTTTTAATTCATCATCCACAATCACAGAAGGGTTGAGTTTGGAAAAGATCTCTGGGGGCCATTTGCTCCAACCCTCAGCTCAAGCAGGGCTACCCAGAGCTGGTTGTCCAGATGGATTTTGAATATCTCCAAGGATGAAGACTCTGTCACCTCTCTGGGAAACCTATGTCAGTGCCTAGCCGCCCTCACAGTAAAAAAGCGTTTCCTGATGCTCAGAGGTACCTCCTGTGTGTGCCCATGGCCTCTGGTCCTGGCCCTGGGGCCTGGCACAGAACCTCATCCTGTCCTCTTTGCACCCTCCCTTCAGGGATTTATATACACCTATAAAATCCTTTAAACATTCCCTGATCCGTTTCTCTTACACCAAGGTACATATTCCTTGCTTCAGCCCTTCCTCCTGGTCTCAGGGACCAAGAATTTCTGAAGGCTCGTCTTGCTGGTAAAGACTGAGGTACAGAAGGCTTTTCCACGTTCTCTGTAGCCAGCTGCCACATATTATTGAGCAATAGGCCCACTACATTTTCCCTTCTATCCCTTTTGTTACCCTCTAGAAATCCTTCCTGAACAGATTCCAGTTGGACTTCGCCTTTCTTCATCCCCACACACTCAGATCATGTCTCTGTATTCCCTTCTATCTGTGTCCTTGCTTTCACCTTCTCTCTGCTTCTTCTGTGTTTTTTTCAGGAGCTCCCTGTTTATCCATGCAGGCCTGCTGGCATTTTTGCCCAGCTTCCTGCTCATCAGAATGGACTGTTCTTGAGCTTGGAGGTGACTCCTCCCAGGCTTCCTTATCCCAGGGCACTCTACCGAGGGGATAGAGGCCTTCAAAGAGGCCAGAGTCTGAAGTCTAGTGTTTGAAGTTTGCACTCCTCTCTTCCTTCAGGATCCTGAACTCCACCAGCCAACTCTGCCTTTGACCACCAATTCCCAGCAAACCATGGCTGGTGAGTCTGATGTCCAGCAATGCAGCTCTCCTTGTTGGTTCCTCCATCACTTGGAGGAGGGATTTACCAGTACTGCATTCCAGAAACCTCCTGGACCGTGAATCACAGAATTATAGAAGGGTTTGGGTTGGAATGGACCTTAAAGATCATCTTGTTTCAATCCCCTGCCATGGCCAGGGACACCTTCCACTAGACCAGGGTTCTCAGGGCTCCGTCCAACTTGACCCTGAATGTTTCCACGGATAGGGCATTCACAGCTTTTCTGGACAACCAGTTCCAGGGCCTCACCAACCCCACACCAAAGAATTTCTTCCTAATATCCAGTCTAAATCTGCTCTCTGGCTTCACTTTGAAGCTGTTCCCCTTTGTCCTGTCTCTACATGTTTTTGTAAATAGTCCCTCTCCATCTTTCCTGTAGGCTCCCTTCAGGTACTGGAAGACTGCAATTAAGTTACCCTGAAGCCTTCTCTTCTCCAGGATGAACAATCAAAATTCTCTTGGCATTTTCTCTTAGGAGAGGTGCTCCATCCCTCTTTAGTTGTCCTTCCAGCAGCTGTCAGCGTGGATGAAGTTCCCCATGAGGAGTAAGGCCTGCAAACAGGCAACTGCCCAGTACAGTGTCACCCACACTGGTTATCCCTTGAACCCTTGCCCTGTAAGCTCTCTGTTGGCTTATCATCCACACAGAATTCCAGGCACTCCAGCTATTCTCTCACTAAAGGGCAGCTCCCTCTCCTCACCTTTTTGGCATGTCTGTATCCCTCCATTACACTGGGGTCGTGGGAGCCATCCCACACCTTCCTGATCCCAACAAGATCATGGCCCTGCAGATGCACCTGGATCTCTGACTCGTCATGCCCAGTCCCCACACTGCTGGTGTTCTTTACACACATTCCTGAGAGACACCCCAGCACACTGACTTCCCAGATTTAGGGATTCCAGTTTGGGGAGTTTCTCCATCATGGTGTTTTATTGATTTTCTGATCCCTTTCTGTCATATCGCTCCAGGTCCTCAAGTAATCAACCTTACATGTGAGCATTGTGTGAAATCACATACATAATTCACCAATTTTTCCTGAATTTCAGAACTTAAAACCTCTAGAATATCTTCTAATTTCCCTTCCAATAACCAGTAATTTTAATTATTATTTCTTAATATAGCACACAGACCAAGGCTTCTGCAGGTTGTGTTTTTACCCACCAGAGGGCGAGTTGTCTCCATCTGTGTCCTCCAGTGCCACGAAAGCAGAGGCCGATAAGGAATTATTTTTCCCTTTCACGAGTACATAGCAGGTACGTAGGAAGCTAAAAAGGCTCATCTTAACCTTGGCAAGTCAGACTTGTCTGTCCAGAAGTTGTCAAGGATGAAGCTTAATCCAGATCTTCACTTTAATTCCTTATTCCTCATTTCTCCTCTCTCCTGCTTTACAGTCACTTACAAAGTTTCTGCTATGGCTTTTCTTCTGCTTCCTTCTGTGGAACCCCAGAATGGTTTGAGTTGGAAGGGACATTAAAGACCATGTCATTCCAAACCCCTGCCATGAGCAGGGATACCTTTCGTTAAACCAGATTGCTCAACCTGGCCTTGAACACTCCAGGGATGGCACAGCCACCGCTTCTCTGGGCAACCTGTGCCAGGGCCTCCCCACAGTCACAGGGATTAATTCCTTCCCAATATCCTATCTAACCCTGCCCTCTAGCAGTTTAAAACCACTGCCCCTTGTCCTGCCACTGCATACCCTTGTAAATCATCCCTTTTGGGCTCTCTCGCAACCCCTTTAGGCACTGGAAAGGACTCGAAGGACTTCCCAGAGCCTTCTTTTCTCCAGGCTGAACATGCCTAGCTTGTCATCTTTATAGACTGTGCACTAGGCATTCTGCCACACAGCTTTGTCACAAATTTGCAGTCACTCTCCTTGGGGATGATCCTTGGTACACAGAGGTGAGTTTCCTTCTCTGAGACAGGCCCCGTTCCCTGTTAAATGCTGCCTGGATATTGCAGCTTGAAAAACCAGAGGGCTTGATCAGAGTCCTGCACCTGGGTCTAAGTCAGCCCTCACACCAGGAGCTTTGCTGTCTTCCAGGTTCAGCTCTTCCAGCCCTGCTTGGCCTTCAGTCCATTATTTTCCTTTGTAAGCTCATCAGCCTCGTTCTTTATCTCCCACTGTCTGGCTTTCTTCTCTCTCCCAGACTCTGCTCAGACAGACGGTCTGGCTGTCATTCTCCCTGCTTCTGCTTACAAAACCTTCGGATCTGCTGCCTGCCCTTGAATCACAGCCTGGCTTGGCTGGTGTACTGGTGATAAAAAGAACAAAGCAAAGATGCACAAAAAAACTTTTTTCATGGAATCCTAGAAGGTTTGCGTTGGAAGGGACGTTCAGGATCATCTCGTTCCAACCCCCTTGCTATGGGCAGGGACACCTTCCACTAGACTAGGTTTCTCCTAAATCCTGTCCAGCTTGGCCCTGAACGCTTCCAGGGATGAGGAATCCACTTCTTTTGGGGAATCCACAACTTCTGTAGGCAACAAACAATTTCTGTTTTCCATGGTAATGGATTTAGCTCCGTTCTCTCTCTTACATTTGGGAGTAGCGTTTGTATAGCCACTTTCCCTTGATGGTATCCCTGATGCTTCTCTTTGCCCCTTCCTCTAGACATAAAAATCATGTTTGAGAGGAATTTTATCAGTGCTAAATATGAAAAATACACTATTTTACAACTATATACATTTTTATACATGTGTATATACACCATAAACCAGTACAACCACTTTGGTTAAAATATTTCAATCACTCCAGGTATGGACTTGTCCCTTCACAGCTGCTCCTCACCCTGGGCACTGCATAGGGCAGGGAAAATTCCTCAAAAAGAAGCAGTCCAGATGCGACCACCCGTTTGGGAGGCCAAGATGTTTTAACATGAGGGGGTTATAAGGCGCTACGAGAGAGATCTGAGGGGGCTCTGAGGGGGTTATGAAAGGCTGTGAGTAGGATACGAGCGCACTGTGAAAGGGAAATCCCTAATAAAACAGGATTAACGCTTTCCACGTCGTTTTTTCCCCCGCTGCGGGGGCCGGACTCCCCTCCCAGGGGTGGGGGGGCGGTTCGGCCTCGGCCCCTCAGAGCCCCCACCCCCACCCCCCCCCCCCCCCCCGCCCGTCACGGCGGCCGCGCGCCCCGCGGCGCTCACTGCGCAGGCGCAGAGGCGCGAAGGGCCCCGCGCATGCGCGCTGAGCGCGCGGCCGGTTGCCGTGGAGACGCGTCGGCCGGGACGGGCCCGGAGCGCCGCCGCCGCTGCCGCCATGAGTTCGGGGCCGGGGCCGGAGCCGGGGCCAGGGCCAGGGATACGGCCGGGGACAGGGACAGAACCCCCGATCGATCTGCCCTTCCTCCCCGGCTGCGGCATCAAGGACCCCACGGTGAGCGCGCCCGCCCACTGTACCCCCGCTGTACTCCCTTCCCACGGGAGGCTCCCAGGATCAAGGTGGGCTGGTGTGGCGGGTGCCCCCCGAGAGGCGGCCTCAGGACGGGCCTCTGCACCTCCCCGCACCCCCTTCAGGTGGTACCTGGTATCCCCTGAAAACACTCTGTGAATCTGGTGCTCCCTCAGACCTTCCTCTAAATCCACGGGAGACTTGAGACCCCTAAACTCGACAATATTCATAGAATCATGGAATGGTTTGGTTTAGAAGACCTTAAAGACCATCCAATTCCACCCCTTGCTATGGGCAGGGCCACCTTCCACTATCCCAGGCTGCTCCAAGCCCTGTCCAGCC